CCTCGGCTGAGGAGTCCTTTGCGCCTTCCGCGGTACCTGCTGTTAGGCAGTTTGTGTTACACTCCGGAGGCATATCTATTGGCAGTGGTTTGCTCACTTTGGTCCACATCGTTTGATCACCATAATCTATAATCGCGTCGAAGCGATTTATAAAATCCTGGCCAACCAAAAATGGGAATGAGTCAACACGAGACACGTGTACCGGGTGGTACAGTGTCATTCTGCCAACCTGCATGTGAACCATTGCTACAGCTGTCAGGGTTGTCCTCTTCTCTGAGAGACCCTGCATTTCTATAGCACAATCAGAGAGAGGTATTATCCTGTTAACACCGGCAGCGGCTGTCCTCAGCTCCTCGAACAGTTTAGCTGCCATAAATGTTATGTCTGCCCCACCGTCCAGAAGTGCTTCGTGTGTGAGGACACCTTCGAGTGTCACTGACAGGTACGCCTTTTTGGCGACCCCCCTTCTGATAAAGTTACACAGAAACCTCTTGGGTTTTTTCTGACGCTTCTTCATGCGTTCAGCCTTGTCTGTGTAATCTTGGTTTGTCTGAACCGTCAGCACAGCAGTAGCTGTTTCTGAGTGTTCAGCTTGCGATGACTCATCATCGTTTGTGTGTGAGTGTACCCCCCCTTCTTCCGATGAGGGGTTGTTGGAGGCAACAACAACAATGTCTTGGTGTGTTCCACCGACATCTGTAATGTTGTCATTCACGCCCTCAGATGCAATAGTGATCACATCACTGCATAGTGCTCCAGGTTGGATTCCCGTGTCAGTGTGTTTCAAAGTTTCTAAAAACCTGCGTAATTTCTCTGTCTCTTCCGAGCTCAGAGGTGTAGGGCCTTGTTTCTGGAACTTTTGTGATTTCTTTGCCTCGGTTCGCTTCGTCCGAGGTGGGAGACGGCTAGGTACGTCTTTTGGGGGTTCCTTTTCGGACTTCCCCTGATAATATGGGTCCTCTTTGATCCCATATCTTTGCGTCCTACGCACACCCCATTTACGATAATCACGCTCATCCTCTGAAAGAGGAGCTTTTTTGTCCCAGCGTGCACCTTCATGACGCGGTTTGTTAGTTTGAACAGACTGTTTTTTCTCGCCTTTCTTAGGAGGAGGCGGCGAGGCACGCCGTCCTTCCAGTTCTAGGGAGTGGGGTTTAACCTTTACACCAGGAAACACTTCTATGGGCGTCTTAGCATGAGAACATGTCTCAAACACATTCACAGCACACTGTTTAATCTCATTGATGGATTTTTCTCTGAAATTTGCCATAATTTGTACTGACATGCGTATGTCAGTGTGGAGATTTTTGCTGAAAACAAATTTAAAACCTTCTTCTTCCTCCATTCCGGTTTCATTTCTATAACCAAAATAAGCTTGGAAGATTCTTTTGTAATACACTTTTGGATGTTCATGCTTGCCCTGCGTGACCTTGTCAGCAGCTGGGAAACCAGCAGGTCCCGTGCAGGGGTCGTACTCTCTGATCAAAGCTTCACACAGAAGGTTGTAATCCCTTCTCGTTGCATCAGGTAGACGCTCGATGAAGGTGAACACCTCTCTGTCCGAAGTGAGCCTTATCAGACTGATTTTATCCTCAACCGTAGCATTAGGATAACCACTCAGTCTGAATTCAAGGTCTTTGAGGTACGCTTTTGTTCCAGTTGAACCCATTGGTCCCGGTACAAAGCGTTGTACATATTTTGAGATTTTTTGCAAATCATCCATTGAAGGAGGAAGTATCAACGGTCTCTCTTGCATGGTTGGTAGTGCAAATTGGTGCAGGTCTGTCCCTATCACCCGAGATGAGGGTTGAGGTGTTTCTCTACCCACATGTAGAGGTGGCAGAATGGGATTAAGAGCAGGAGGTGCAACAACATCCTTCTGAGGTGGTTGTGGGTGACCTGGACTCTGACCTTGGTCTTCTTTGAGTTCCAGACAAGCTCGCCCCATGTCAGAAATCTTATTTGTTGCTGCGGCTAGTTTCTCCTCACAAGCTTTCAAGCGTTCCTGTGATGGTTGACATTCACTTTGTAAACGCACACATTGTTGGAGTAATGCCGCTTTTTCCAGTCTGCATTCGTCCAGCTCTTTTGATGCGAGCTGCAACTGTTGTTGTAGCACACAGTTGTCTGAACACACAGCTTGGTACTGAAGCTCTTTATCCCTAATGGTCTCCTCAAATGAGTGAGCCTGTAATGACAGCTGATTATGTGAGAGCTCCCTCTCACCTTGCACCTCAACTGCACGTGTCTCCTCATCAAGTTTAGACTGTTCCATCAATTTGTCAAACATCTCTTTTTCAGTTGCATATGCTCTAGACAGCATGACATTTCGTGCAAGCTGATGATCCAATTCGTCTTTGAGAAGCAGAGAAATTTTTGCTAACCGTTCATGGCTCAGCTTCTTATTCTCTGCAACCGTGGCACCTTTTGCCAAACTTCTCAGATTTTCCGCTCTTTCAGTGTCATCAAGGTATTCTAACGGTGCACCAATAAATGGATTTGTTAAAATACATAAGGCTGCCTGGATGACATCTTGGGAGCTTAAAAGGTCAACGTTTACGTCTTCTCCTGCCATTATCTTCTATTTAAAAATTAAATAAGAAGATGTATTGTTTTAGGTGGTAAAAATAAATCAGAAAAGTTTCCTTTTTCTG